TATTTAACTGTAACCAATGCACCCATCGCCCTGTACCCTCCGGGAGTAACTGCAACCCACACAATTAAGTCTCTATTCCTCTTCTTCCTAAAACCAGTCTACCCTTCTCCTGTGCCTTCTGGCATGCTCGCTTTGTCTGCAACAAACTCACCTCTGTTCATGACCTCTTTGTCACTAACTTCTTTAATCTACTTGCTGTCACCGAAACCTGGCTTCATGAATCTGACACTGTTTCTCCTGCTTCCCTCTCCCACAGTGGTCTTCTCTGGACTCACTCCCCCAGACCCAGTGGATGCAAGGGAGATGGAATGGGAAGCCTCCTATCCCCACAGACCACCATTCAGGTTCTTCACTCTCTTCCCTCTCATCGTTTGAAGCTCACTGTGTATGTCTATTTTCTCTAATTTCTTTAAGAATTGCTATCATCTACCAACCCCCTGGACTGTTATCAACCTCCTTTGATGACTTCTCTGCCTGGCTACCCTACTTTCTCTCTTATTAAATTCACACAATCATTCTTGGAAACTTCAACATCCCTGTTAATACTAACACACCTGCTACTTCTACACTTCTTGGTCTAACCTCCTCATTAGACCTGAAGCAATGTGTTCATGCTTCTACTCACTCTGAAGGCAACACCCTTGACCTTGTATTCTCCTACCCAGGGGCGGACTGACAACTCATGGGGCCCCTGGGCAATAGGGGATCATGGGGCCCCTGTGTCCTTGCCTAAACTCAAAAAAGCCTGTGAAAAAGGTACCAGGGGCATCTCATGGGGCCCCCTACTGACCCCAGGCCCTCGGGCAGTGCCCGAGTTTCCAAATGGTCAGTCCACCCTTGCTCCTACCTATGCACTCTATCCAACCACTCCAGCAATCCTTTTCCGCTCTCTGATCACCACCTTATTAGTTTCGCTCTCTCCCTGTCTGCCACCACCTTTCCCTCCAACTGCCTAACAATTACCCGTAGAGACCTTCGCCACTTTAACCCTTCACTTCTCCACTCTGCTACTGATCACCTCTTTGACAATATCTTACCCCCTGTCCTGCTCCAATCTAGCCACTTTTGTCTAAAATAGATCCCTGTGTCTGCCCTGGACAAGCTCACCCCCTCTCATTACACACAGAATCAGGCACGACTCTCACAACCCTGGCAAACAGATGATACCAGAAGTCTAAAAAATGCAGCAGCGCTCTTGAGCATCTGTGGCGTAAGACTAAGTCTCACAAAGACTTCAACCATTATAAAACTGTCCTCCAAAAATACAACTCTTGCCCGCACACTGACAAGCAGACCTATTTTATCACTCTCATTAACACCTTCTCATCCAGTCCCCATCAACTCTTCTCTACCTTTAACTCTCTTCTTTGTACTCCACTCCCTCCACTCACTAACTCACTCACTTCCCAGGAGATCTCCAATCACTTCAAAAATAAGATTTATACAATTCGTAATGAAATCTCCACTCTACAGATAACTCCCCCACTTAACACCCATGTCCACAGGTATACTCAACACTACCCTTATTGAACCCGGCTACTACAGACAAGGTTGCTAAACTTCTTTCTAATGCCCACCTAACCACCTGTCCCCTGGACCCTATTCCCTCTCAAATACTGTGGTCACCCTCTGGCTCTATTCTACACTCTCTAACTCACATCTTCAATCTCTCCCTCTCTTCTGGTACCTTCCTCAACACTCTAAAACATGCACTAGTCACCCCTATATTTAAAAGGACTTCCTTGGATTCCACCATACTTAACAACCTATGCCTCACCTCCTTGCTCCCCTTTTCTGCCAAACTCCTTGAACACCTGGTCTATAATCAACTGAGCAACCACCTCATCAAAAATAACCTTCTTGATCCCCTTCAGTCTGGATTTTGCCCCCAACACTCCACAGAACCTGCTCTCCTAAAACTCACAAATAATTTACTAATAAAAAAACCAATGGACACTATTCTGTACTTCTACTTCTGGACCTCTCAGCTGCCCTTGATAGGGTTGAACACCCCCTACTCCTCAAAAAACTTTACTCCCTTGGTATCCCTGACTGTGCTCTTCTTTGGTTCTCATCCTACCTATCCCACTGCACCTTCAGTGTTGCTTACAATTCTACTTCCTCCTCTGCTCTTCCTTTTTCCGTTGGGGTCCCCCAAAGTTCTGTTCTTGGACCTCTCCTATTTTCAATCTGCACCTCTTCCCTTGGTCATCTGATAGCCTCCAAAGGCTTTCAATATCATTTCTACACTGATGACACACAAATCTACCTCACTACCCCTCAGCTCACAACAACAGTCTCCCCATCTATCGCTAACTTTCTGACTGACATATCAGCCTGAATATCACACCACTTCCTCAAACTCAGTCTATCCAAAACCAAGCTCATAATATTTCCTCCCCCACATACCCCTTCCCCTGACTTCTCTGTCATGATCAATGGCACAACCATCATCCCATCCCTGCATGCCAGGTTGCTAGGTGTAATCCTGGACTTTAACTCTTATTTCAGAACCACATCCAATTACTTTCCAAAGCTTGCCGTCTCAACATCCACAACATCTCCAAAATACGCCCAATGACACCACAAAGCTCCTATTTCACTCCCAGGTTATCTCTCGCCTCGACTTCTGAAATTCCCTCCTCATTGGCTTACCTTTACATTGGCTATCCCCCCTTCAGTCAAGCCCAGAATGGCCATAGGGCACATCAGTATTTGCCCAGTGGGCCGGGGCTGCCTGGATAGGAGAGGAGGCCGGGCGGCACATTGAGGACCGTGCATTTCTCGGTTCCTTTATGTGCCGCCCAGCTGCCTCTCCTATCAATCTCCTGCATGCCCTGGGCACCTTTGTATGCGTCCCCTGCAGCTGCCCCCCCCTCATCTCCTGTAGTGCTGCGGGATCTGTCAGTATAGACTGTGCCCAGTGCTGACAGTCCGCCCCGCCTCCTCTCCAGGGGCGTATTTGCCGGGAGGCAAACTAGGCAGTTGCCTAGGGCGGCACTTTTCAGGGGGACACCTCCGTGGGAAAGGGACAGGGGCAGGGCCGCCGTGGCTGAGGGACCGGTGTAGCGGCAAGATCTGTCCCCCTAACGTATCTGCGCATGTCACCAGTTGCAAAGGAGAGCGGAGTGATAGGCGGATCCCCGGTGTGCGCTCGGAGCGCTGGAGAGGCGGGGCCCGCTGTCAGTGTGCCGGGCCCGGGATGTGCAGGAAGGCCAGAAGGAGGAAGCAGAAGAGGACGAGGTCAGGGGGGCGGATCCCGCCCCCCACTCTTTTGCAGCCGCTGCCACCGGAGAACCTGTGGGGAAAAGGGACACCATCTGGAGGAGCCCCTGCTGGACAGGTAAGTGCTTGGAGGACTGGTGCACCCCCACTCCTGTCACACTGTCCCCTGATACACTGCCCCCCCACCTGTTCCACTTCCCCCTCCTGTCCCCCACATTGTCCCTCTACCACCCATCTGTCCCCACTGCCCCCCACCTGTCCCTCTGTGCTCCTTCTGTCCATCTGCCCCTCACCTGTCCCTCTGCGCTCCTCCTGTCCATCTGCCCCTCATCTGTCCCTCTGCGCCGCACCTGACCCTCTGCGCTCCTCCTGTCCATCTGCCCCCCACCTGTCCCTCTGCGCTCCTCCTGTCCATCTGCCCCTCACCTGTCCCACTTCGCTCCTCCTGTCCATCTGCCCCTTACCTGTCCCACTGCGCTCCTCCTGTCCATCTGCCCCTCACCTGCCCCTCTGCGCTCCTCCTGTCCCACTGCCCCTCACCTGTCCCACTGCCCCTCACCTGTCCCACTGCCCCTCACTTGTCCCACTGCCCCTCACCTGCTCCTCTGCGCTCCTCCTGTCCCACTGCCCCTCACCTGTCCCTCTGCGCTCCTCCTGTCCCACTGCCCCTCACCTGTCCCACTGCGCTCCTCTTGTCCCACTGCCCCTCACCTGTCCCACTGCGCTCCTCCTGTCCCGCTGCCCCGATCCTGTCCCACTGCCCCGATCCTGTCCCATGCCCCCCATCATGCTGCACCCCATCTGTCCCTCTACGCTCCTCCTGTCCCACTGCCCCTTACCTGTCCCTCTGTGCTCCTCCTGTCCCACTACCCCTCACCTGTCCCTCTGCGCTCCTCATGTCCCACTGCCCCTCACCTGTCCCTCTGCGCTCCTACTGTCCCGCTGCCCCGATCCTGTCCCACTGCGCTTCGCCTGTCCCACTGCCCCTCACCTGTCCCTTTGCGCTCCTCATGTCCCACTGCCCTGGTCCTGTCCCTTTGCACTCCTTCCTGTCCCGCTGCCTCGATCCTGTCCCATGACCCCTGTCACGCTGCCCCCCACCTGTCCCTCTACGTTCCTCCTGTCCCACTTCCCCTCACCTATCCTTCTGCGCTTCTCCTGTCCCACTGCGCTCCTCATGTCCCATTGCCCCTCACCTGTCCCTTTACGCTCATGTCCCACTGCCCCTCACCTGTCCCTTTACGCTCATGTCCCACTGCCCCTCACCTGTCCCTTTGCGCTCATGTCCCACTGCCCTGATCCTGTCCCGCTGCCCGGTTTTGTCCCATGCCCCCCGTCACACTGCCCCCTACCTGTCCCTCTGAGCTCCTCCTGTCCCACTGCCCCTCACCTGTCCCTCTGCAGTGCCCCCCCCCTTTCCCCATGGAAGGGACACTACCGTGGGAAAGGGACAGGGGCTGCTGTGTCTTACCTGACTTCGTGTCCCACGTCGATCCGGTCCACAAGGCGCTGCTGGAGGAGGGGTGCAGAGGGTGTCCGTCCGGTGTCTTCATCTTCTTGGATCTTGATCGCGATGTAGGCGGGATGACAAGCCATCCCTCTAATCTGGCCACACCCCTGGGATCACTGGGCAGCCTATGGCAGCCTGTCCCTCCCTCTGCAAGCTTCACCTCCTTGCTGGTGATTAGCCGCCAGATCTGTAGCTCAGAAAAGGCACACAGGCGGCCAATCACAGGCGAGGAAGCGGAGCTTGGAGAGGAGGAGCTGAGCGGCAGCGCGAAGATTGAAGATCGAGTGAGGGAGCAGCTGGAGCCGGTGAAGAGGAGGAGAGCGGCTGGAGAAGGAAGACAGCTGATGGGTAAGTGTCTGTGTCTGAAGGAGGGAGCACGGGCTGGAGCAGGGGTCAGCACAGCGATGTAAGAATAATTGGTGTCAGTGGGAGTAATAGCGCCCCATCATTAGTGTCAGTGTGCAAGGAATAGTGCCCCTTCATTGGTGTCAGTGTGGGAGGAATAGTGTCCTTTTATTGGTGTCAGTGTGGGAGGAATAGTGCCCCTTCATTGGTGTCACTGACACCAATGAGGGGGCACTTTTCCTCCCACTGACACCAATGATGGGGCACGATTCCTCCCACTGATAACAATGATGGGGCACTATTCCTCCCACTGACACCAATGATGGGGCACGATTCCTCCCACTGTTACCAATGATGGGGCACTATTCCTCCCACTGATACCAATGATTGGGCACTATTCCTCCCACTGATACCAATGATGGGACACTATTCCTCACACACTGACACTAATGATGGGACACCATCATTCGTGTCAGTGGGGGGAATAGTGCCCCATCATTGGTGTCAGTGCAATGAATAGTGCCCCATCATTAATGTCAGTGGGAGGAATAGTGCCCCATCATTGGTGTCAGTGGGAGGAATAGTGCCCCATCATTACTGTCAGTGTGAGGAATAGTGTCCCATCATTAGTGTCAGTGGGAGGAATCGTACCCCATCATTGGTGTCAGTGGGAGGAATAGCACCCCATCGTTGCCAGTGGGTGGAGCTCTATGAGGAAGAGGTGGAGCCTGAAGAGGAAGGGCGGAGTTTGCAGATAAAAGGGAGGGGTGCCCGATTTTAGTCTTGCCTAGGGCAGCACAAAACCAAAATACACCACTGCTCCTCACCACAGACGGGAGAGGAGACAGAAAGCTGGTTCCGCCCCTCCTGCTGTCCTCTCCTCCTGTGTCCGCCTCGCCCACACTCCCTGGCAGCCTTGTGTCTTCTCTCCCCCCATCTTCTTTCTTTTTCTTTCTTTCTCTCTCTGTCTCCCGTTTCTCTCATTTTTTTCTTTCTCTCTGTCTCCTGTTTCTCTCCTTTCTTTCTCTCTCTCTGTCTCCTGTTTCTCTCCTTTCTCTTTCTTTCTCTCTCTGCCTTCTGTTTCTCTCCTTTCTTTCTCTCTCTCTGTTCCCCGTTTCTCTTATTTTGTTTTATCTATATCTCTCTTTCTTTCTTTCTCTCTCTTTGTCTCCTGTTTCTCTCATTTCTTTCTTTTTTTTCTCTTTCTTTTTCTGTCTCCTGTTTCTCTGCTTTCTCTCTCTCTGTGCCCCATTTCTCTCATTTGTTTTTCTTTATCTCTTTCTTTCTCTCTCTTTGTCTCCGGTTTCTCTCCTTTCTTTCTTTCTCTTTCTTTCTGTCTCCTGTTTCTCTTATTTCTTTCTTTCATTTTCTTTCTCTTCTTTCTGTCTCCTGTTTTCTCTCATTTCTTTCTTTCATTTTTTTCTCTCTCTCTTTGTCTCCTGTTTCTCTCATTTCTTTCTTTCTGTACTTCTAACTTTCTTTCTTTCTCTGTCTCCTGTTTGTCTCCTTTTTTTTCTCAATCTTTCTGAAAAGATTCTCTCTCTCTCTCTCTCTCTCTCTCTCTCTCTCTCTCTCTCTCTCTCGCATGTCCTTCTTTCATTATTTTTCTCTCTCTCTCTGTCTCCCATTTTTCTAATTTTCTTTCTTTTTCTTTCTTTCTCTACTTCTCTCTCTCTCTCTCTCTCTCTCTCTCTCTCTCCTTTCTTTCGTTTTCTCTCTTTTTGTGCTTCTCTTTCTTTTTCTCTCAGTCTCCTGTTTCTCTCCTTTCTTTCTCTCTGTCTCCTGTTTGTCTCCTGTCTTTCTTTCCTTCCTTCATTCTTTTCCTCCTTCCTTTCTTCTCTCTCTTTCCCTATCTGTCTCTTGTTTTTCTCCCTCCTTCCTTCTTTCCCTCCTTCCTTCTCTCTCTCTCTCTTTTCTCCCTCTCTGTCTCCTGTTTTTCTCTCTTTTCTCTCCCTACTTCCTTCTTTCCCTCCTTTCTTTCTTCCTTTTTTCCCCTCTTTCCTTCCTTCTTTCTCCCTTTCTTTCACTTCTCCTTCTTTTCTTCTCTCTTTTTCTTCCTCACGGTCTCCTGTTTCTCTCCCTTCCTTTTTTCCCTCCTTCCTTTCCTTCTTTCCTTCCTTTTCCTTCCTTATTTCCCTCCTTTTTTTCTTTCCTTCTTTCCCTCCTTCCTTCTTTCTCTGTCTCTCTCTTTCTCCCTCTCTGTCTTCTGTTTTTCTCCTTCCTTGCTTCTTTCCCACTTTCATTCTTTCCCTCCTTCACAATTTCCCTCTTTCTTTCCCTCCCTCCTCCCTCCTTTCCCTCCTTCTTTCTTTCTCTCTCCTTCCTTCTCTCTCTCTTTCTCCCTCTCTGTCTCCTTTTTCTCTCCTTTCTCTCCCTCCTTCCTTCCCTCTTTCCTTCCTTCCTTCTTTTTCCTCTTTCCTTCCTTCCTTCCTCCTTTCCCTCCTTCCCTCTTTCTCTCTCTTTCTTTCACCCTCTCTGTCCCCTGTTTCTCTCTTTTCTCTCCCCCATTCCTTCTTCCCTCCCTCCTTCCTTCTTTCCCTCCCTCCTTCCTCCTTTCCCCCTTTCTTTCCCTCCCTCTTTCTTTCCTTCATTCTCTCCTTCTTCTCTCCTTTTCTCTGTCTCTGTTTCCTCCTTTCTCTCTCCTTTCTCTTCCCTCCTACCTTCTTTCTTCTTCTTTCCTTCCTTCTTCCTTCCTTCTTTTCCTTTCCTTCTTTTCTTTCTTCTTTCCTTCCTTCTTTCTTTTCTTTCCTTTCCCTCCCTTTTCCCTTCTTCCTTCCTTCTTTCCTGCCTTCCTTCCTTTTTCTCTCTCTCTGTCTCGGTTTCCCTCCTTTCTTTTTCTCTCTTTCTTTCTGTATTTGTCTCTCGTTCTCTCTCTCTCGGTCTCCCTTTTCTCTAATTTTTTTTTTTCTTTCTCTTTCTGTGCTTTCTCTCTTTCTTTCTCTCTCTGTCTCCTGTTTCCCTTTCTTTTTCTTTGTCTCTCTCTCTGTCTCCTGTTTCTCTCCTTTCTTTCTCTCTTACTTACTTTCTGTACTTCTCTCTTTCCTTCTCTCTGTCTTTCTTTCTGCACTTCTCTTCTATTTCTTTCTATCTCCCTCTCAGTCTCCGGTTTCTCTCCCTCATTTCTTCCCTCTTTCCCCCTTTCTTTCTTTCCCTCCTTCCTTCCTTCTTTCTCTTTCTCCCTCTCTGTCTCCTCCTTTCTCTCCCTCATTTTCTCTCTCTCTCCCTCCTTCCTTCCTTCTTTCCTTCCTTCTATCCCTTCCTCCTGCCTTCTTTCCCGCCTTCCTTCATTCTTTCCCTCCTTCCCTTTCTTCCTTCCTTCCCTCTTTCCCTTTCCCCTTTCCTTCTTTCCCTCCCTCCTTCCTTCTTTCCCTCCCTCCTTCCTTCTTTCTTTCCTGCCTCATTTCTCCTCCTTCCTTCCCTCTTTCTTTCTTTCCCTCCTTCCTCCTCCTCTTTTTCTTTTCTCCCTCTCTGTCTCCCGTTTCTCTCCTTTTTCTCCCTCCTTCCTTCTTTCCCTCCTTCCCTCTTTCCCTCCTTCCTTTCTTTCTTTCTTTCCTTCCTTCTCTTTTTCCCCTCTTTCCTTCCTTCTTTTCCCCTTTCTTTTTCTCCTTCTTTCTTTCTCTTCTTCCTTCCCTCCTTCCTTCTGTCTCTTTCTCCTTCTCTGTCTCCTGTTTCTCTCCCTTTCTTCCTTCTTTCCCTCTTTCCTTCTTTCCCTCCCTCCTTCCCTCTTTCTTTCCCTTCCCCCTTTCCATCCTTTTTTTCTTTCCTTCTTTCCCTACTTCCTTCTTTCTCTGTCTCTCTCATTCTCCCTCTCTGTCTCCTGTTTTCTCCCTCCTTGTTTCTTTCCCTTTCATTCTTTCCCTCCTTCACTCATTCCAGCTTTCCTTCCCTCCTTCCTTCCTTCTTTCCCTCTTTCGTTTCCTCCCTCCTTCCTTCTTTCTTTCCTTCCTCCTTCCCCCATTTCTTTCCCTCCTTTCTTTCTCTCCTTCCTTCTCTCTCTCTTTCTCCCTCTCTGTCTCCTGTTTCTCTCCTTTCTTTCCCTCCTTCCTTCTTTCCCTCTTTCCTTCTTTCCCTCTTTCCGTCCTTCCTTCCTTCTTTCCTTACTTCCTCTTTTCCCTCTTTCCTTCCTTCCTTCTTTCCTTCCTGCCTTCTTTCCCTCTTTCCTTCCTTCTTTCCTTCCCTTCTTTCTCTCTTTCCTTCCTTTCTTTCCCCCTTTCTTTCCCTCCTTTGTTCTCTTTTTTTCTCCCTGTCTCCTGTTTCTCTCCCTCATTCATTCTCTCCCTCATTCCTTCTTTCATTCCCTCCTTCCCTTCCTTCATTCCCTCCTTTGTCCCTTCATTCCCTCCTTCCTCCCTTCTTTCCCTCCTTCCACTTCTTCCTTTCTTTTTCTCCTTCCTTCCTTCCTCTCCTTCCTTTCCTCTCTTTCTCTATTTCCTTATCTCTTTTTTTCTTTCTTTGCTTCTTCTTTCTCTCCTACAAAATGTAAAAAAAAAATAAAATATAAAATTGCGAAAAACAAAAAACCTACTGACGCTAGTGGTGGAACTACCAGGGTCACAAAGGTCATTCTTGCGACCTGGCCCTGGCGTTATGCCATCGGGCTCTGAGGAAAGGGTCCCCAGGCTTTGGGCTGCTCAGTCCAAATTGCCCAGGCCTATTTTTTTGTCCCAGTCCAGGCCTGCCTCCAGTCCATCCTGAATGCTGCTGACAGACTCTTCAACCTTACCAACCGTTCAGTGTCTGTTACCCCTCTCTGCCATTCCCTCTATTGGCTGCCACTCACCCAACTAATTAAATTCAAAATACTAACAACTTACAAAGCCATCCACAACTCTGCCCCCTGCTACATCACTAACCTAGTTTCGAAATACCAACCCAATCACACTCTTCATTCCTCCCAAGACCTCTGCTCTCTAGATGCTTGCCTGCAGGACTTCTCCCGAGCCTCTCCCACCCTATGGAATTCCCTACCCCAATCTGTCCAACGATATAGTTGTCCACTTTTAGGTGATCCCTGGAAATTTTTCTCTTTAGAGAAGCCTATCCTGCCTCCACCTAAAAAATATACTTTTATTTTTTCCATCGGCTCATCCCCCCTCACATTTAAAAGTGCTGCACAAACTGTTGGCGCTATATAATAATGATAATAATAACAATAATAATCTACGGTCTGTTTCAGAGTTCGGGGAGGGTAAATTGCACTGGGGGCATTGTGACCTGGAGGGGTGGGGAGGAGCAGGTAAGATTTGGGCCTAGAAGGGGAAGGAATTTGTAAGCCAGGGGTAAGGTAAG